AACTGGCTGATGGAGGAGACTTAAAAATGGCTGATGTAGGAGACTTCAAACTGGCAGAAGTAGGAGACTTGAAAGTGGCTGATGTAGGAGACTTTAAACTGGCTGATGTAGGAGACTTGAAACTGGCTAATGTAGGAGACTTGAAACTGGCTGATGTAGGAGACTTGGAACTGGCTGATGTAGGAGACTTGGAACTGGTCAATGTAGGAAACTTGGAACTCATCGATGTAGGAGACTAGGAATTGGTTGATGTAGAAGACATGGAACTGGCTGATGTAGAAGACTTGAAACTGGCATAAATAGGAGATTTGAAACTGGCTGATATAGGAGACTTCAAACTGGCAGAAGTAGGAGACTTGAAAGTGGCAGATGTAGAAGACTTTAAACTGGCTGATGTAGGAGACTTGAAACTTGCTGATATAGGAGTCTTTAAACTGGCTGATGTAGGAGACTTGAACCCAGCTGATGTAGGAAACTTGAAACTGGCTGATGTAGGAGACTTGAAACTGGCTGATGCAGGAGACTTGAAACTAGCAGAAGTAGGAGACATGGAACAGGCCAATAAAAATAGTTGGAATTGAACCATCAAGGAGACCTGGGATTGGTTAATAAAGAAGACTTGTAAGTTTAGAAATGCATGGTAAATTATTATTCACAGCCAACAAAGGAGATTTGGGAATTCCTACCAAAAGAAACTTGAAACTGGCTGATGTAGGAGACTTGAAACTGGTCAATAAAAATAGTTGGAATTGGACTTGAATCTTTTCTTTGAACCTGCCTCCCATGACAGAATCACCAATTCTTGCCCTGCTTTCAGCAGCAGTTTTGGACCAGAGGGGTTACGTTGGTGCTGTGACCCGGATGGGAGTAAGGTAACGATAGAAGTGAGCATAACAGAGACCAACTTGTGAGATCTCTGCAGGCAAACCTCACTCCTCTGATATCAGGAGGTGCTCTACCTATAGGCTGCGAACTTTAGTCTTCAGACTAGAGGTGATGCACTTGGAACTCTTGGAACTGACAAAGCAGTGGACAAAGAAGAAGACTTGGACCTGGCCTATGAAGTATGGTGGAACTATGGAAAGCTATGTAGGCAAACTAGAGGCAGACAAAAGTGAGCGACAAATGAAATGGGTGAAATGAAAATCTAGAAAACTGTAATACATACGACAGACATACACATGACAATTATGCAACTCAAATTTTGATAAATGCATACTTTTTCTGACTGGTGTTGCATGAACTATGCTCTCTCTCTCTCTCTCTCTCTCTCTCAATTCAATTCAGTTCAATTCAATAATTGCTTTATTGGCATGACAATTGTTACAAATGTATTGCCAAAGCAGTTATAAAATTTACATAAAAAGTAGCATACATATATAATAAAAAAACAGTACACACAGTAAATAGTAGTAGTATCAAAAAAAAGATGATATTTATATATAATAATTAAATAAAATATCAACAATACATCAAATTATTCAATATATTACATTAATATTTAATATATTATATTATTATTCAACATTAATTATTCATACAAATCAATACAAAAATATATCAGAATAAACTGTACATTTTTAGGATAAAACAGTAATAAAAACAATAATAAACAGCATATTTACAATGTTTCATTTATAGTCATCTAGGTGTGTGTGTGTGTGTGTGTGTGTGTGTGTGTGTGTGTGTGTGTGTGTGTGTGTGTGTGTTTGCAGGCGCATCACTGATGTCTCTCTCTCTCTCTCTCTTTTGTTTTTTCAATGAACCATGTGGACATCAAAAGCGGTTTCTCATCAAAAACACACACACCAGTCCTTTGTTTTGAATTAGATGCAGCCCATATTGTCAGTCACTATGAATGTGCCTTTATCTTACAAACGAATCATGTTCTTTAGCGATTGATTAAAATGCGTGACAGCTTTAAACACAGGTGAATCATTCATCCCTAAAGGTGCCTTTAATATTTGAGCTTGTTAATTGTGTACTTTGAGTCCCAGCAGTTCATTTTCTCATGTTTGAACCTAAATCTACAACTCTTTTTAATAAAAAGATCATATGTAGAGCTGAAGACCCATCAGCCTTTACACTCTCCCGACGCTTAGTATGTTATTAGCGTGTACAGCGTGAACTAGCGATTTCTGCATAATAAGGTTTGAACAATCGCAGAGGAGTTGTCTGAATGGGGCAGAGTCTGGAAATAATAGCTGGAAGGTTTTAATGAACACTTGTCACCGCTGCCAGAGGACAATAGCGTCTCCTGCGGGTAGTGGGTTGGCGTCGCGCAGCTCTGTGATTGGTTGTTTTTGGGCTAGTCGTTCCCTTTGGGTGAAACACACGTGAATGTGATGAGTCAATGTGAACATGTGAAGCGTGCTGGAATGTGTAAACACTCTCATTGTATGAGCATATATGCATGATGCACATGTGAGAACAGAAATGCACCCATAGTGAAAAAATAAGATTAGCAAGGATTTTGTTGGTTTTCCTACAGCACATTTATGATATACGGTTGAGGTCAGAATTATTAAAATCTGCTTTTTATTCTAGTCGAAGCAAATAAGACTTTCTCCAGAAGAACAAAGATTTTCAGACATACTGTGAAAATTTCCTGAATCTGTTAAACAAGATTTAGGAGATATTAAAAAAAGAAAGAAAATTCAAAAGGGTGCTAATAATTCTGACTTTACCGTATTTCTTATTAATTAATAATTTTATAATTAATTACATTGCTTACATAGTTTTATGTTGAAAATAAAAATATAAACTGTGTAATACTTTAAAAAGTAATAGTAATGACTTTAGTGTGTTTATGTATTTATTTGTTGTTGTGAAACACTGATTGAGGCATGTTCTATATGAGAAAATACAGTAGTAAAAATGGGTAAATCTTTTTTTAGGGGGGCTTTTATAGTTGTTTTTGTTAGTTTTTTTAAATAATTCACTGGAATTTTGCAAAAACCAATGTTGGTGTGAGCTGTCTTTATTTCTTCTTTTCTGAGAAAATAAATTTATTTATTTATTTATTTATTTATTTTGTTTGTTTATTTATTTGTTTATTTTAGTTATTTATACAATATTTATTACCTTTTATTTATTCAATTATTTTTAGTTTTAGTTATTTGTGTTTTTATTAAACTTTTATTTATTTATTTTTATTTTAAATTTTTTATACAACATTTATTAACATTGAATTATTTATTTATTTATTAATTCATTCACTTAATTTTTAACTTTATTTATTTATTTACTTTATTTTTTTGTTTTTAATTTTTTTCAAAAATATATTTTTAAAACAATTCATTCATTTTCTTGTCGGCTTAGTCCCTTTATTTACATTTACATTTACATTTAGTCATTTAGCAGACGCTTTTATCCAAAGCGACTTACAAATGAATTATTAATCCAGGGTCGCCACAGCGGAATGAACCGCCAACTAATCCCGCATGTTTTAGGCAGCGGATGCCCTTTCAACTGCAACTTATCTCTGGGAAACATCTATACCAATTCACCTGTACCGCATGTGTTTGGACTGTGGGGGAAATCAGGGCACTCAGAGGAAAGCAACGCAAACGCAGGAAGAACATGCAAACTCCACACAGAAATGCCAACTGACCCAGCCGAGACTCGAACCAGCAGCCTTCTTGCTGTGAGGCGACAGCACTAACTGTGCCACTGTGTCACCTTATTTATTTATTTATTTTTTTTAATTTTTTTTTCTATTAATTTATACAACATATATTAACATTTATTGTTTATTTATTTATTGATTCATTCATTTATTAACCATTTATTTTTTCATTTATTTATTTATACAACATTTATTACCCTTTTATTGATTGTTTATTTATTTGTTTATTTTTATTTTAGTTTTTCATGCAACATTTATTACCCTTTTATTATTTTTTATTTAGTTATTTGTTTTTTTAGTTATTTGTGCATTTATTTATTAGCTTTTATTTATTTTTGTTTTGTTTTTTTCTGATTTATGCAACATTTATTACCATTTATTTATGTATTTAGTTATTTTAGTTATTTATGCAACATTTTTACATTATTTATTTTTTATTTGTTTGTTTATCTATTTATTATATGAGTTTGCTATTTTATCTGCTTTATGCAATATTAATGTTATAAAAAGCAAAGTCATTTGTTTATTTATTTATTTTCTTTTTCACATTTCACATTTCATATACATCCAAGAGAAACCAATACCTCTTTTTTGATTAAATGTTTTGCTGTTTTTTCCTCTGTGTGTCCACTGCCTGCACTTCACCTGGGCTTTCTTTGCAACATGAAAAACCTTTATTTAAATTTAGAATTAATAACACATGTAAAGTGAGCGGCACATCGACACTCATTACACTAGACTCACAGGAGACGTCAATGCAATTTCACACACACTAACAGCACAGTTTCATCATGAACTCCAGTTTATAGACTTTGAATATATTACACACATGCAGGTTTGAGTCCCGTCTGGATCAGTTGGCGTTTCTGTGTGGAGTGTGCATGTTCTCCCTGTGTTAGTGTTGGTTTCCTCCAGGTGCTCCGGTTTCCGCCACAGTCCAAACACATGCGCTTTAGGGGAATTGATTAACTATATTGGCCATAGTGTGTGTGTGTGTGTGTGTGTGTGTGTGTGTGTGTGTGTGTGTGTGTGTGTGTGTGTGTGTGTGTGTGTAAATGAGTGTGTATGGGTGTTTCCCAGTGATTGGTTGCAGCTGGAAGGGCATCCTTTGTGTAAAACATATGCTGGATTAGTTGGCGGTTCATTGCTTTGTGGTGACCCCTAATTAATAAAGGGACTAAGCCAAAAAGAAAATGAAGGAATGAATGAATTATCTTTAATGAACATTGTAGGCAACAAGGCATGTAATGTTTATTGTATGTATCCTATTAAAATATGTATTTTTATTCATTAATTGTGTTCATTTCTAGCACAAGCTAAATGACTGGCTCATGTTTACTGTACTAAATTTGAGTTCTCTTTTGTTTTATAGTGAGAAGTTTATGGTCAAACTCAACAAAAATGGTGGCCCGAAAAACCCGGAGAAGGTCGACCGCCTTTGCGCACTCTTTACGGTGAGAAAAAAAATCATCAAGCTCATCTGTCTTTCACAACCAGAGAATATTGGCTACTCTAACACATGCTAACAAATTAGCTATTTGTTGAAATGTTACAAATGTTATGTTAGCAGTGTGCAAAAAATGTGCTTGAAAGTGTAATGAATCTTAAATACTTATACAAAATGTTAACAAAATGTTAACAACATGCTAATAGCATCATTCTAAAATATGACGTATAAAGCATGGAAGTAATGTGCTAATATGCTAAAGCATGAAATGCAGTAGAGCATGTTAGCAATGTGTTAAAACAAGAAAGCACCATTCTAAGGCTTAAAATATAATACAACATTATTAATTCAGAATAATTATAATTTTATAATTTATTAATGCTAATGCTAGCTACCACAGATTATAATAGCAATGTGCTGAAAATGCTACCACAGGTTTAACACACATCCCTGCTGAAAAATCCAGCTTAAACCAGCCTAGGCTGGTTGGCTGGTTTTAGCTGGTCAACCAGCCTGGTTTTAGAGGGGTTTTGGCCATTTCCAGGCTGGTTTCCAGCTATTTCCAGCATGGTCTTAGCTGGTCAGGCTGGAAAATGACCAGCCAAATCCAGCTTAAACCAGCCTGACCAGCCTGGTTTAAGCTGGATATAGCTGGTCTTGACTGGACTCCCAGCTTGGCTAGGCTGGTCAAGCTGGTTTTAGCTGGTCATCTCCCAGCCTGACCAGCTAAAACCAGGCTGGAAATGGCTGGAAACCAGCCTGGAAGTGGCCAAAACCTCTCTAAAACCAGCCTGGTCGACCAGCTAAAACCAGCTGACAAGCAGCAGGGATAGTATATACACTAGTTAGTACATCAGCTGAAGTGGCGTAGCTGTGCATTTATACTTCTACACGCTGTCTCTGTTGGTCTGCATTAACACTTCTGAAACACTAGTTGGCAGTGAGGTGTTTATGTCGCTTTGTGTCGGGTTTCTTCGCTGGTGTTTTGTTTTTTCTAAACACTTCCTGAATGTACAAGTGGCTCAAACTTGCTCATTTTGAGGCAGGAACAGGCAGACGTGCAACAACTTTAAGCATAAGTTAAACACAAAACAAAACTTTTAAACTCTACACTTGTAAACAATCGCTCCATCGTGCTCACACGGCTCTCAGCCCCGCCCAGACTCGTCAGCGCTACCAATCTGACCAATCACAGAGATTGCGCTACGCGTCGTTGCGACGTGTAGTTACATTTTTTGAGAGGTGCGCATCAGCGCCGCCGATGCCCACAGTGTAGGGCTATGCGTCAACGCATAGGCTGCGCCATAGCATACGTGTGCGCTTGACGCAGAAGTATAAATCAGCCTTTAGTCAATATCATGTGCTGTAAGATCAATTACATATTTAAACAACTAGCTACACTGTGACTTGTTTAACAATTTGCTAAAATGTTAGCCACCCCTGCTAAAAAATAAACAGCTTAAACCAGCCTAGACTGCTTTAAGCTGTTTTTTCAGTAGGGACATTAAAATAACATTTAGCTGAAATATGCTAGTGCCAAATTCAAATGTAATGTTTAAAACAACATTCTAAAACAGTTAGCAATATGTTAGGCCATGTTAGCAATGCATGTAGACAAGCTAGCAATGTATAAAAACATGCTAACAATGCTAGAGATGAATGAAGGTATAGTAACAATGCTAAATAATAGCCTTCAGGACTCTAAACATGCGTCAAACCTTTTGTCAGACTCTGTTGCTTTGGTTTTTAACAGGTTTTATTGTTAAAGCATATTGCTCTGGCTAAAATATGCTTGTTTACATATTAAAGCATGTATAAATAAATGAAGACGTCATGAAGTTCTCTTGTTTTCTTGCAGGACTTGAGCAACAAGGACATGAAGAGAGATCTGTACATTGTGTCTCAGGTCATCAGGACGGGTGAGTGTCTCGTTCTCACTCATGTCCTCTGTCCGCTTTCTTTCATTCTGAACCAAATGTGTCTGAGTTTCCACAAGGCAGTGGGCTTCTGCCAGCAAACGCATCTCTAGAGCGATTACGCAAGTAGCATTTGAGTTTAAAGAAAGATGAGCATCTCCATGCTGAAACAGGCCATTCAGACTCAAACCTCTCCTGCTGCGTATTTGGCACACAACTGGAACAAAATGGAAACGCAGCTCAATGGAGGCTTTTAACCTCGTTTGCAAGGATCCTGGAGACTTGTCTTTCATGATTAGGATGATGATGAGTGGACGGGGGTTTGCTTGAATAAGTGCTGAAAGATTTGGATTTCTGTGCATTTAAATAAATGTAGTTATTCTTTTGATTTAAAATTGTATAATGCAAATACTCAATGTTAAATGAAAATATTGCCAGCAGCTAGCTCTCACGTGGTCCTCAACTGAAGCTAAGCAGGGCTGAGCCTGGTTAGTACCTGGATGGTAGAAAAGCTAGGTTGCTGCTAGAAGGGGTGTTAGTGAGGCCAGCAAGGGGCGCTCAACCTGTGTCTGTGTGAGTCCTAACGCCCCAGTAGAGTGAAGGAGACACTATACTGCTCAGTGAGTGCCGTCTTGCGGATAAGACGTTAAAGTGAGGTCCATCTTAAAGACTAGGGGTTTAACCCCAGCATCCTGGTCAAATTTGCCTGCTGGCCTCTGTCCATCATAGCCTTCTCACCATCCCCATGTCTCTTCTCCACCAATCAGCTGGTGTGTGGTGTGTGCAATATGGCTCCGTCATGTCATCCAGGTAGATGCTGCACACTGGTGGAGGATGAGGAGATTCCCCCCAATGTTGCGTGTCCAGAGCGCTATATAAATGTAAAGAATTATTATTATTAATATGTTTTATTAATCAATACAATTTTTATTTGCATTTTCTGTAAAGCTTTTGGTCAATTTTAAATAAATAAAGTACTAATAAATATTTCCCTCATCATAGCAGTATACTAGCATCAAACTCTGTCGTAAACACTCATAGTGTCACCTTATTAGTCTATATTTTAATTAGTATCCCTACTGAAAAAAACAGCTTAAACCAACCTAGGCTGGTTGGATAGTTCTAGCTGGTTGACCAGCCTAGTTTTAGAGGGGTTTTGGCAATTTCCAGGCTAGTTTTAGCTGGTCTGGCTGGACGATGATCAGCTAAAACCAGCTAAAACTAGCTTGACCAGCCTAGCCAGGCTGCTAGATCAGCCAAAACCAGCTATGTCCAGCTTAAACCAGACTGGTGTCACTTGTTTTAATTGGATTAAGCTTCTCATTTTCCAGCTTGACCAGCTAAGACCAGGCTGGAAATGGCTGGAAACCAGCTTGGAAAACCCCTCTAAAACCAGGCTGGTTGACCAGCTAAAACTATCAAATCAAGTCTTTTTCAGCAGGGATGCCTTCATATTTTGGATATTTGAATATCACTGTTTCTTGATGTTTATGCTATAAGCGCAGCTGAATGCTAACATCAGACTGTATTTGATTCATTGTAAACATTCAAGTTGAGTTAGCATTTGGATTTAAATCATCTTACATTTTAAATGTAACCTATTACGTAGATGTGTTGTGTTTTTAGCTTAGCAATATGCTAGCATCAAACTCTGTTTGAATCAAGTGTTAACATTCTCATTCAGTCACTCAAGTAGATGATATTTTATTGTTTTGCATTTATTTAGTATTTAATAACACAATTAATTAATGATTGTGTAATAAGCATAACTTAAAACAGTTTTAGTCATAAACATTCAAGTTGAGTTATTAATGTAACTGCTCATTCATTTTAATTTTTTACCCCACCCAATGTCAGTTTAGCCAATTATATTTTAGCACTCCGGGTTGCCAGATGGTGGAAAACAGCATATTTCATTTATTCATTCAGAAAGGCTCTCAAAGCATGCGCCCGTGACCGAAATGCAACCTCTGGTGGACAGTAGCAGACTCTGAAATAAGATGCAGATTCAGAGTTCCACATGAGGTTATTAATTAGCATGTAATGTAAATATTATGAATGTAAACATTAGGTGAGCAGGTTACATTGTAATCACGTGTCCTAACAACATGCTACGTGACGAGATACAAAGTGATGAGCAATTTGGCTGTTTTCAGCAGACGAAACACGACAGAAATGTAAATACAGCCATTTAGAAGCACAGAATAGTGCACTCACTCACAAAATGGTAAGGTTGATAATTTATTTATTACATATTAAATCTCTTTAATATGAATAAATGTAGATGCTGAATCACTGATATGTGTTGGTTTGCACTGAATCTCAGTTCACTTTCAGATGGTTTATTTTATTCTCCAGATCTAAGCTCAACTAGCTGCTTCTGCTTTCAGTAGTACGGCTATACATGTCCTTTGAAACTCACATTATTAGCATTTAACACTGAATAAAGCACACGTGTTGTACCTGAGCTGATCATTGTCAGTTTTCTGTTGTTCAGCTGTGCAAAATAGAAGCCGTTTCTAATATTTTAATTCCAGGTGATGGTTAGAATAAAAACTTTGTGTGCCTTTGTTTTTCTTTAGAACAACACTTAAATCAGCCTTTAGGCTCGATCGCCAGAACTCGCTCCTGTTGGTCATCAATCTGGCAACCTGTGCTTGCAGTTGTTTTGATCCGGGCATGTTCAATACCTAATTCGATCACTGGGTGTCAAACTTAAACCCATTATGTACAGTAGATGCAAACTTATTTGGCTGTGTTTTTAGCGTAGCAACATGCTAACATCAAACTTAACTCCACTTAATTCTTAATACATTTTTAACGTTCTTGTTTAGTCACCATTTTTTAGCTGAAAGAACATTGATGTATGTAATGTAAATGGACTAGTTGTTAAGATCTGTTTAGTTCATGCTAGTTTACGAACAATGCTTTTTTGTTTTTCAGGACGGATGTTGTTAAATGACTCAAAGAAGGGCCCTCCTCACGTCCAGTATCGGCGGCCGTATGGATGCGCAGTTCTGGCCATGAGCGACGTCTTACAAACCATCTCTGAACTCAAAGAGGAGAAAGACTTTGTGCTCAAAGTTTACACGTAAGCCTCTTCTTTGCCCTTAACAGACTTTTATCTGTTTGATTTATCAATGAAGCTGCATTTAGGTGTATAATGAACTACATGAACCATGAGCAGAATATCATTCACTGGCTTTATTAAATCTTAAAGTGCTGATGGATAAATACACACTCTCTGTTCACTCTAGAACAGATCATTACTGCCGTCCCCATCAAAGCTGAAGATTGTAAACACAAAGGCATGTAACATTGATGTATGGTGTACAGATTAGAGTAACAGATTTGCTTGATGACTGACATGATGTTTCTCAAACTCAGATTTGTCATTGCATTCAGATGTATGATGTCAGATTTGTATATCCCAGGTGAAAAAAAGTGCACTAAAATACACTTATTTAAGTATACTTAGTACACTTTTCAGTAATGTACTAAAAGTGCTCTATTTTCGCACACTAATTTTGTACTTAATGTACTAAAAGATAGTATTAAGTATATGTTAAGATAAACTTAATACCATCTAAGTGTACTCAACTGTGCTATTTTGAGACATTCTGAAATTGAACTAAAATGTGCTTTTAACATACTATATCTGTATTTTTAAAAATATGTTTGTTACAACTAGAAATACACTTGAACCCTACTTTTAAATATTTATAAATATATTTCAGAATAGCTTAAAGCATAATAGTAATATATTTAAAGAATATACAAAATGTGAAAGTAGTGTGCTAAAATACACTTTAAGTATATTTAGTACACTTTTCAGTAATGTACTAAAAGTGCTCTATTTTCGCACACTAATTTTGTACTTAATGTACTAAAAGATAGTATTAAGTAAATGTTAAGATAAACTTAATACCATCTAATTGTACTCAACTGTGCTATTTTGAGACACCCTGAAATTAAACTAAAATATGCTTAAGTATTACTGGTATACTTTTGTCAAGTGTACTAAAGTCCTACTGAAGTATAAACATACTTTTAATTAGTATATTTATAGTGTAAAACCATCAAACTTTTATTTAACACAAAAAAATAACAATGTACTAAAAATGTATTTGCGGGTATTTAAGTGTATTTTAGTTTCATTTAATTATATATTTTTTCACCTGGGATCTGATAGAAACCCAAGTATGCTGCCTACCTAGACAGCATTTTAAGGCATCATAAACATGCTCGTGACACAGTCTTAGTTTGTAAGAAATTCATAACAAATATTGTAAACTTTAAAAGCAATCCCAGAATGGCGTTCGAGAAGAATTTTCAAAATATACCTTAACCTATTGGTTTGACCTATAAGTATACACACACTGGCCACTTTATTAAGTACATCTTTTACTAGTACCGGGTTGGACCCCCTTTTGCCTTCAGAACTGCCTTAATCCTTCGTGTCATAGATTTAACAAGGTACTGCAAAATTCCTCAAAGATTTTGCTCCATATTAACTGCATCACACAGTTGCTGCAGAATTGTCGGTTGCACATCCATGATGCCAATCTCCCATTCCACCACATCCCAAAGGTGCTCTATTGGATTGAGTACTGGTGACTGTGAAGGCCATTTGAGTACAGTGAACTCAGTGACATCTTCAGGAAACCAGTCTAAAATGATTGGTGCTTTATGACATGGCCCGTTACCATGCTGGAAGTAGCCATAGAAGATGTGTAGACTGTAGTCGTAAAGGGATAGACATGGTCAGCAACAATACTCAGGTAGGCTGTGGCGTTGACACCATGCTCAATTGGTACTAATGGGCCCAAAGTGTGCCAAGAAAATATCCCCACAGCATTACACCACCACCACCAGCCCAAACCGCTGACACAAGGCAGGATGGATTCATGCTTTCATGTTGTTGAGGCCAAATTCTAACTCAACCATTCGAATGGAATCAGACCAGGCAATGTTTCTCCAATCTTCTATTGTCCTGTTTTGGTGAGCCTGTGTGAATTGTATCTTCAGTTTCCTGTTCTTAGCTGACAGGAGTGGCACCCGGTGTGGTCTTCCGCTGCTGTAGCCCATATGCCTCAAGGTTGGATGTGTTGTGTGTTCACAGATGCTCTTCTGCAGACTTCGGTTGTAACGAGTGCTTATTTAAGTTACTGTTACCTTTCTATCAGCTGGAACCAGTCTGGCCATTCTCCTCAGACCTCAGGCATCAACAAGGCATTTGCACCCACAGAACTGCCGCTCACTGGATATTTCCTCTTTGTTGGATCATTCTTTGTTACTGAGATATTAAAATGCTAATATCTAACTATGTGAAAGCGAACAGTAAATTCAGTCAACTAAAGTAAATGCTTTAATTTTGATCGTATCTGTCAACCGACACAGCGCATTAAGATTTTCAAACTGCTTCTTAGCTAGGTCTTATTTACAACAGAAAGATGCGGCTTCTGTGGTTTGTCTGTAATGCTCTCTGTGTGGACGGAGGCTTCTTGCTGTCTCCATCACAGTCTTTCATTAGCTCTGTGCGCAGTCATGCAGAAAGCTGCTCGGGTTTATTGGCTGGGGACCTGACAGAACGGGCAAAAGAAAGAGGAATCAAGAGAGAAGAAAACAAAGGTGTATGTGGCGGGAGAAAGAGAGCGAGCTGAAGAAAAAGGCTAGATTTGTTAAATTTGTTGAGATTTGTTAAGAATCAAAATTACATTCATTTGAAATGAAGCCGTTAGTGTTGGTGTAAAGAGGATAGATGCAGCGCAACTGACCCAGCCAAGGCTCAAACCAGCGACCTTCCTGCTGTGAGGCGACAGCACTACCTATTGTGCCACCCTTATAATTAGATTAAATAATCAAAATTTCTACTGTGCGTGTAATAAAATATGGTGTTTTTTCAACTGTGCAGCATCAATGGTGAATCTGCACTGCAGCACAGTTATTAACAACATTTCATACAGACATATTGAAAACCCAATGCCTTAGTATGGAGTACAGGAGAATGCAATTATATAAGCAACACACACAAGATATATTGACTCAGCTTTGTTTATAGGGCAAATCACAGTTCCATCGTCTGTCCTGATCCTGAAGCTTTCCCATTTTATTTAAATCTGTCCTGTGTGACCAAATCAGCATCTCTGAGAGCGATAGATGTTTTTACTTTTAGTGTGAGTGATACACTCAGGCTTATTAGTTCACAGAGACATCTAGTGGTTGATTATTAGGGTACTGTAAAGCCACATCGCACCAGTCTGACAGCACACCCGATTGGATCTACTGTTGTATTATACAGTGTAGCACTTTGCGTCAAGCAGCCTGTGTTGGTGTGATGCCGATGTGACCCTGCGAGTGACAGACCAGAACCACCCTTGACGCCCTTGGAGCCAGTCTCCTCGACAGCCAACCAGATGGCCTCAGTGGGAGATCCCTGAAAGCATCTGCCCACTACGCCACACCACAAACACTAGCATTAGCATAGCGAGAGTCACGTCTGGATCACGCATTATAGTGCAGATCTCTGCAGATCTCTTGCTTCTCAGGCAACAGAAATGCCAGCTGACCCAGCTGAGGCTCAAACCAGCAACCTTCTCCATGAGGCGATCGTGCTACCCACTGTACTACAATGGCTACGTTCACACTGCGAGGCTTAATGCTGAAATCAGATTTTTTCTCAGATCTGATTTTTTAGCATGGCTGTTCCTACTGCTCTTATAAATGTGGCCTATATCAGATTTGCAGTGTGAACAGATCATGGTCCGAAACTGACCCGAATGAGCAAAAGTGCATTACGGAGAACGCAAAATGTCTAATTATGCACACGTGTGTGCTGCATGAGTAAGCACATTGTCAGATCATGCTTATATCATTATTACTCATTTCACAGACAACCGTGGTGTATTTCATGATCTGTAAATGATTGTTCTGCTACTGTGTATTTCGGCATTTGAGACCTAAAATAAGTCTCCTGTGATAAAAAAACACTGATCGTTTGTGATTTATGACAAGCGCTGTGCGTGGCGCTCTGACCAGCGGTCTAGTGAACTCATCAAGGGTTAATGAGCAGCCGCAGACTGAGCTGTGAAGGCGGAGTTGGTTTATCTCCGTTTGCGGAGTTATTTAATTTTACTTCGTTATAAACAGCAGACACGTGCAGTTTGGGTGCTCGAGCACCTGCCCTTTTTTCTCTCGGAGAGAAAGTTTTTTTCCTTCTTTGCACACGGATCCCCTATCCGCAACATCCATGAAGCTTTTTGGCTTCGCGATCAACCCGTGCCTCAATCGTTAACCAGATAAGTTAACAAGCACCAGTTTTGCCTTTAAAATAGTTTTTAACATGAACAACCAACTTTCTGTGGTACTGTAATCACCCTGTGTGCCATTCTACTGTGCTGCTGAGGTGTAGAGGATGTTTGCAGCACAGAATGATGACGCATGACGCTCAAAGATTATGTAAAAGTCACATGAAATCCGACATGACCGTTCACACTGCGGTCGCATTGCTAAACATCAGATCTGTGTCTGATTTAAGACCACATATGAAAGTGGCATAGATCTGACCTGAAAAGATCAGATTCCATGCGGCTAGGCTGTTCACACTGTCATCACCTGAGTCACATGAGGGGGAAAATCTGATTCATGCCACATTTGCCTGCAGCGTGAACGTAGCCAATGATGCCTCGATATATATATATATATATATATATATATATATATTTATATGAGCAAAATCACACGAGTAGCACTGCGATATAGCTGTATATCGGCACTGCAGGGAGGCGTGCGTTGGCACGTGGACGCAGGCCGAGGGCCTTAGTGCCCCCACCAGTCCAGTGCCGATACACAGCCATATCACACTGCTATGAGTGTGATACTGAGTTTATACAAAAGTTTGACGGCAAAATTGTGTAAATAAAGGCAAAATCAAACATGGAGAGTCTAAAAAAAATGTGTGTGTATATATATATATATATATATATATATATATATATGTGTGTGTGTGTGTGTGTGTGTGTGTGTGTGTGTGTGTGTGTGTGTATATATATATATATATTTTTTTTTTTTTCTACACAATTATGCCGTCAA